GCAGTAAATATTCTTTGATACAACTTGTTTGGCATTGCATATAGCATATACTACAAATAAAGTTATGCAGTATATATCTTATTTGAGTTTCAGTCAGTTTCATAGTTTTATGTAGTATATATCAGCTTCACAGTTTTATGTTGTATATATCTTATTTGAGTTTCAATATTCAAGTCTGAATTTCACTTAAAAAGTAAGTAGTTACACTGTTATTCAAGTTGATTACATACTTTTATGTTTTTTAAGTATGTTTATTATCTTGTTACACAAATAATTTCTGCATCCATGTTCTTTAAAGTCTTAACTAACAAATTTACATAACTGTAATTAACACTTGTTGTTTAGTATTAGCTGCTTGATACAATATTTTCCCATGTTTCTGGAAGTGATTGAAGTAGATTTATACCTCTTGCGAATTTCATGGCTCTCACAAGCTGAGTTTTTTTCTTTGTCTCTGTTGTATTGTACTTCTGGATAGTGCTGTCAAAGAAGCAAAACAACATGCTTGATCAGATGTAAATCTTTAAGCTCAGTTAGTTTTCTTTCTTTAATATATATGTGATGTTTTTAGCAAATATTCTACAGCAAATTAATACTATGAAATTTATAGTAACGATCTGCTGAATAAAAATTTTTTCTTAACTTATAATAACATTTTATAATAAATTAATAAAAATTTTAAATATATATTTTGTAATCTCACCTCCAAGAAAGCTTTAAAATACAGATTGTACTACATATTATTAAAAAAAATGAAGATTAAATCAAATTAGAAATAAGTATAATATTATTAAATATTTTAACAAAATTTATAACCACGTTATTATAAAAATATGTCAAAAAGTTCAATGCGCATCGCGCTTCACTTTAATTTAATTATCAAAATAAGTTTTGATTATTTTGCCATATAAATTAAGTCAAATTTAAAAATTACATAAATCAATGCGATCGTAGTACTTCATGCGTAAATTACGACTAATTATGCGCGCAAAGCAAATTTTTACCTCGATTATTTAACATTCCTTTTAATTTTGCAGATCTGTCACGGAGAAAACAGTCCGCCGGAGTAAACTGTCCGGCCGGACTGTTTACTCCGGAGTAGAATGTCCTACATTGGAGTAAATTGTCCTACTTAGCAAATAATTAGTTAAAGAATCGCGGCTGATTTTGTACCAATAATTGGTACAAAATCAGCCGTGATTATAAGATTTTATATTTGTTATATATTTAGCTATAATTAATATTGTTCGATTTAAAATAAATTATTATTATAAAATATCAAAAATCATTTTAAAAATGGATGAACAGAAAAGTAATTATGAAGAAATGATGCTTGCTGATGTTAGTAACTATTTATCTAAATCTGTTTATCGTCATGACTGCACCCTAAATGATAAGCGGACAATTAGACGAAAAGCAAAAAGGTAAAGATTGTAAAAGTTAAGATGCTATGTTTGTAGTATTACTAGTACATAGTTATAATTTCTAACTATGTTACTATGTAACTAGTAACTCACTATTTTTAAAATAGTGATTTACTAGTAGCTCAACTAGTCTAGTTAGTCTAGAGTTACTAGTGAGTCACTATTTTACTCACATTAAATGTGAGTAAAATAATTTTACTCGCATTTAATGTGAGTAAAATGGTGAGTTGAAATAGACTCGCAATACAGTAATGTGACATTACTGTACTGCGTATATATAATGTATATACATATATATATGTAAATCGTAACCTATATATGTATATACATTATATATGCATATATATAATGTATATACATATATAGGTTACGATTTATAGGTTATATAATACATAGCTTATATATTATAAGTAATTTATATGATATAGCATTAATTATGTATAGTATTACTATAAATATCTTATGTTATATTGTATAAATTACTTATAACATAAAAGCTATACAACTTATAATATACATTATTATAAAATACATTACTTATAGTTTTATTTATCACGATACTGTATTGTGGGTAATTATAATGAAAAGTCCTTTGATATGTCTTTGCAAATGGCGGACACATGTTTTAAATGGTAGAAGATAAAAAATAAAGAAAACTTAAATTAAACATTTTTTTCTCTATAACAGGACTTCAAAAAGCTTAATTATCTTGATACTTTGCATAATTTTATTTTTTTACTTCTAATTTGGATTCCATTTCTTAAAAATGTGTTATGAAACCGCAAACACGAAACCAATATTTAAAAATAATTTCTGATAATGCTTCATTTATTTACCTGGTTATTTTCCTGGTATGGCCATACCATTATTGCTAAAGCAATCCAGTTTTGACCAATTGAGCTATGTAGGCGTTAGTCCATAAAGAAGCCAATCCTTGTTGTTTGTAACCTATTTAGTTTTGACTTGAAACAATTTAGGGAAGTGACTGTTACAGTATTGTTATTAAGTTCCAGCGGTTGACTACACGTTCCGATAAGATATATTGTCTGACCACAGTTGTAAATCTATGCTTAATGAGTGTAAGTGGGTGACCTCTTTCTTTTATTCTTTTGTTTGTGGCTAATTAAAAAAAAAATTATATGAAATTTAGTAGGCAACTCATTCAGCTGCTTGTATACTTCTATTAAGTCTGATCTAGTTCTTCTTTCCTCAAGTGTCCATACACCAAATTTAAGTATTCTGTCTGCATAAGATCGATGTTGCACTTCATTATCATATTACTCTTATCTTATCTTGCATTATTATTTTACTAAAATGTTGTATTTTTTCAATTAGTTCTTTATCTTTGATATAAAAAGGTGACCAAACAGATGTACAATATTTTATGTGTAGAGGAACTAATGATTTATATAGTTATAACATAATGTTAGATTGTTTATAGGCAATGGTGTGATTTATAATTCCCATAATTTTGTTTGCATTTTTAAAAGCCCCCATGCTTTGGTTAGATGCTTTCAAATCATGTGATATCACAACCCCAAGGTTTCAGTCTCAATTTCTTCTAAAATAACCCCATTTATACTGTATTCATAACCAATGTTCTTTTTGATATGATATGAAATGAAAATGAAAAAGTCAATCGACCAATAACAATAAAAAAATCTTAATTTTGACTTCCTTTAATTTTCACCTCACTATTTTATTAAAAGATAAATATCATATTCAGTAACCCAACAGTTTTGAAACTCAAATTATAAGTTTATATAATGCTTTTAAATTTTTTTTTTTTTTTGCAGAGCAAAAATTTATTGAAAGATTTCTAAAAAAGTCTAGCATAATTTCATATTAATAATGAAACTTTTTTATCTTTCAGTTCAGTGATGCAACCTAATTTTTTGCATACGTGTATGTGTTTTTTGCATTATTTGCATATTTTTAAAAATGTTTGAATTACCTGTCTTTAAGTTTTATTCGCTTTTTCAAATAGTATAAATAGAAAACAACCGCTTACTTTTGTCACATTTATCTTCTTTGTACAAATATTTTTGACTCGAAATTTAATTAATAAGAAACTTCATTGTTTTTAAACTATAGTTAAAGAAAAAAAGTTTTTGAAAAACAAAGTTTTTTAAAATCAAATTTGCCTCTTCCATCCTGGAAATAGCCATATAGATAACACATAGATATATTTTACAGTGCCACTGTATAATAGATTCCAAATATAGTATACTTAGTGACAAAACATATAGAATATATATTAATAACAACGTTAGTAATCAAATATGTAGTATACATATATCCATTTTTTAGAAATTTAATTACCTAGGTCACATAATTGAAAATAATTTAACTGATAATGCTGATATAAATAGTTATATTTAATGTCTATTTACACGTACAATTATTCTTAACAGACGATTTAAAAGATGCTCAGTTAAGTTAAAAATACAGTTGTTTAAGGCGTACTGCCTCTTTATGATGCATTTTTGTGGCTTAACTTTAGTGTAAGTACTTTTTCAAATCTACAATCTTGTTACAAGAAATGTGTTAAAATATTTTTTAGCTATGACAAGTACTCAAGTTATAAAAATATGTTTACGCTGCTCTTGATACTTAACTGCTTAACTGCTGACATTTTAAAAATCAGCTTGTCGCCTGCGCCAGTAATTTTAATGCTAATAATAATGCCAGTAATAATAATTGTTAATTGATTGTTGTTGTTGTTGTTTATTTGTGTTTTTTTTACTATAAGCCTATTATTGTACTTGTTGTCTGAAATAAATGAGTTATTGTATAATTATTTTTGAAATATATCATAGCATGATTGTTACCATAATTTATTACATGCTATGTAAAATTGACTATGTAACAAGCATGTTCAAATATATTATAATACACAAAAAGTCATGCTTGTGTTATTGGAACCAGTTAATTTTTTATACTTGTAGGTTTAGAATGGAGGATAATAAACTGCAACGCAAGATAAAGAAGGACTTATGGTTAGAAGTGGTTTTTAGCAAGGCGCAAAGAAAACAAATTGTTAATTCGTGTCATAGCGAACCTACTGCTGGACATCTTGGTAGAACACGAACTTTCTACAAGGTTGCAGAACGATTTTACTGGCCAGGAATTTTCAAAGATGTAGAAAATGCTGTATGTTTGTTACATTTATATATATATATATATATATATATATATATATATATATATATATATATATATATATATATATATATTTTTTTTTTTTTTTTTTTTTTTTTTAACATCTTCACTTCCAACAAGGCTGCAAGCAACCACTATAAGAGTTGGAAGTTACTGGAAGAGAAAAGACTAAATCTGTAGAGCAAGATGACGATTGACTGATGACTTAAAAGATTGCAAATTATATGAATCAGGAAAGCAAGATGAAGGAAGCGAATTCCAAAGAACTGATGTTCGAGGAAAAAAACTAGAAGAATAAGAGTTTTTGAAGCACTTAGGAACAGTCACAGAAAAAGGATGAGACTTAATTGAATGGCGAGTAACACGAGAATGAATTTTAGTAGATGGCACAAGGGACGCTAGCTCTTTAGAGCAGTGCCCATTATAGTATTTGTAGAAAAGAGAAAGAGAAGCAACATTACGACGATGTGACAAAGGTTGGAGATTGGCTGCCAGAGCAGGTCCAACTATGTTTACAATTCGTTTTTGCACCTTGTCTAAAAGAGAAAGAGCATCATTAGAAGATCCGCCCCAGATGTGGCAACAGTATTCCATACAGGGACGGATTTGAGATTTATAGAGATAGAGAATAGAATCTGGAGTAAGAAAGTGTCGAGCTTGATAAAGAGATGCAACCTTAGCAGATGCTAATTTTGCAATGGATTTGATATACGGTTTAAAAGAAAAATCAGAAGTAAGAGTTAATCCTAGAAGATGAATGGTAGATGACTCATCTAGTACATTACCATTCATAAATATAGGAAGATCTAAATTATTACGATAACGATTGGCCGAATAAAATTGAGTTTTATCTGAATTAAAGTTCACCAGCCACTGTGAGCCCCATGCTGTAGCAGAAGTGAGATCCTTTTCAAGCTCAGATACCCCCTCCAAGCAATCAGAGAGTGTAGGCTTCTTATCATGACAAGAGTAAATGGTAGTGTCGTCAGCGAACAATTATTTTTTATTAAACCAATAAAAGCTTTATACCTTTCCTCTATTATTTTGTTCATAAAATGTTGACTACTCTCAGGTCTTGCGTTAAAATCAAATAACAACGATTCAGGAGATTCACCAGCAACTTCAAATTCAATAGGAAGTATGGGTTTTCTACCAAACATTAACTCAAAGGGAGTGTATTTTATAGACTTCTGCCTTGACGTATTGTATGCAAAAGTACATGCATCCAAATGAGTATCCCATGTACTGTGCCGGTCATTGCAAAACTTTACAAGCATTAACTGAATGGTTTGATTGAACCGCTCATCTAAGCCATTAGCCTAAAATAAAAAATGATTAAATCAAATATTTTTAACCAGACAGCAAATTATATGCAAACTCAATTCAGATTTGAAAACCTGTGGATGATAAGCTGTGGTAAACTGATGCTTCACATTTAGCAGTGACATAAGTTCCCTGTTTATTTGGTTGTAAAACTCTGTGCCCTGGTCAGAGGTAACAACTTTTGGTATACCCATCTGCATGAACAACTGAAATATTAAACATTTTTATATCATTGCAAACATAACAAATAAATTCACTGCAATCCAATAATATTATACATAAAGATAACATTTAAAGTTACCTTATATAATGCTATTGCAACACCACTGGCTAATTTTGATTTAAGGGGAAATGCAGCTACCCACTTTGTGCAATAATCAAAGATAGTGAGGATATGTTTATTTCCTGCAGATGTTTCAGGAAGTGGTCCTATTAAATCGATTCCAATATGAAACCATGGTGACTGAACTTTAATAGGATGCAGCTCTGGGCGAGTTTTTTCAAATCTTCGTATATTTGTATGCTGACACTGTTCACAGTTTTTAACTTATGTTATGCATAACTTCCATATTACAAATATGTTATATATTATTAATGTATATTTTTCACAAACAGAGTTGTCAATCACTGGAATAATTTGGATGATTCGACTAAGTTCCAGAAGAGTGTTAAAAGTTTTAAAAACAGTTTTTTTTTTGAAAAAAAAATCAAACTAAGATATAACAATTACAAATGACCGGCACTAAGCCTTTGATCTGCTTATAGCAGAACATGTACTCATGTTCTGTTCCAGGGGTTTCTCTCCTTGCAGTGTATAATAATAATAACAATAATAGTAATATTATATAACAAATATGTTATGTATTAATACTGATGTCACAAGACTTAAATGAAAAATTATTTAAGAATAAAGTTAAAAAAATCACATAATAAAAATTATAGATACACTATCACCTTATTTAAAAAAATATACACCGTTTACAAGTATGATAGCCATCTAACATTTCAGAGCTATCACTACTAAAAATGATTTTAAAAAAAGAGAAAGAAAAGCATTACTTACTAAGTAAGGTCTTTTTTTTCAAAAATGATTTATGATATATTGTACATACATTTTTATAGAACTGCATTTTTATAGAATATACTAACATATATATATATATATATATATATATATATATATATATATATATATATATATATATATATATATATATATATATATATATATATATATATAAAACAAAAACGACTAAAATTGGAAATTGTCCAATCAAATTACGAAGTATTCGAACATTTTGACTGGTAGGATTTTGAATTCTTAAAAACATAGTTACAAGAATATATTTATTCTTGTGAGTATGATATGAAGATGAATAACTAAACAATTTATATATATAAATAAATAAAAATTGAGTCCTTTCTTTCCAATCGTAGTATAAAAGTTGTCCTCGATGGACAACACTCTTCTTCACATCCTGTAACTTCAGGGGTTCCTCAAGGTTCAGTCCTTGGCCCTATACTCTTTTTAATTTACATTAACGATCTTCCAGATATTCTTACATCTAAGGTGGCATTATTCGCTGACGAC